TGGGGCGCCCAGCCGGGAGCGGGCCGGAGGCGGCCGGGGCTCGCTTCCCTCCCCGGGGCTCCCCCGGCGGCTGCCGGGCCCCCCTCGGAGCCCCTCCGCCCGGGCAGGGGGAGCCCCGGGCCGCCCCGCCCTCCTCCCTTGCGCCGGTGCATTCGTGCCCTGCCCGCGCCCCGGCGAACGGCGAAAAGCCGAGCTCGGCCAGCGCGGGCGGAGTCCTGCAGCTTCGTGGTTGTGCTCTGCCGTGTTTTACTGACCTTAACGTAACTTCTTGCAGTCTCCGGCGCGAGCAGAAATCCTTCTAAACGTAACTTTCTTCCCGCTTATTGCAGAAGTAATAAACGTGCGCTAGCACAGCTCAGAAGATGCCTTCTTTCCACGCAGACCACGCTCTCGGGTTTTCGGATGTCACCAGTTCTCCCTGTCGTGGTTTCACGCCCCAATATTTTGCGGTTATGCCAAGAAAGGCTGAAAATTTAGTTATTGCGGTCTCTTTCTAGAAGAATCGGCTTGCATCTCTACTTTAAACCTCTTCTCTTTCAGCAAACGTCACGAAAAAGTCGCGTGTGAGGATTGCGTTTGCCTTTGCAGGTCCTTTGGTTCCTGCGGTATTTTGTGTGTTGGGAGAACTTCTGAAGCGTGCTTATACGGAGCTCTTGCACTGATGAAATATTTAGTCGAAATCTGGTAGTAAAGCACCAAATTCTTTCTTTTTATTGGGCAGAGAACTCGCCAATGTTCTGCAACATCTGGCACTGGGTAGTTTCCCTGCTTGACTCTTGGTACAAATTATACGCTGTGAAAACAGCAGGCTTTAAAAGGGGTTTTCCTAGTGACAGCACTGCATCCTGCGGAGGAATTTGTATATAGTTATTTTCTATATATATATATATATATATACATTTTTGAACATACCAAATGTAACTTACTTGAAAATTTATACCTGAAAATTCTTCTCTTCACTGCAGTTTGATTTTGTTGCGCTTTGTGCCTTTGGGGGGGTGTATGATACTTGCCTAAGCACCAATGCATTTGCAATAGATGTTACAAATTATCGCATTCCCAATGTCTCTTAAAATGTAGCTGCTCTACATCAGCCAATACAAAACTACTAAGTTTGCATTCAAAATTCTAGTGAACTGGTTTTTGAGATTTTAAAATAAAGTCACTTTGAGCAGTTATTTCATTCCATACCATGTTTGATGCTCCTGAGTACGTACAGAAATGGTTCACTTTGTGGTACAAATAAGCTGGCAAATGCTGCAGTTTGCGGGTTAATAACTTCCCTTGGCATGCAGAGCATCCTAAGAAATCTCACTTAAAGGGTTCGATGGGCGCTGGGTGTTTTGTCAGCTTTTGTTACAGACTTAGCTTCTGGGTTTGTAATGTGACTGGTTTTTATAGGAAAGCACAGAATTGTAGGGCTGCTGTAGAGATCCTGAATTCCGAAAGTTTTGCTGTATTTACCGAATATTTACTAATTTCTAAGTAGCTGCGTGTATGCAGTAGCTTCGATGATACACTCCAGTAAAAAAAAAAAAAAAGCAAAGGAGCGTGATGATTCAAGGGTTTGAGTCAAAGTGTCATGAAAGCATTTAAATTAATTTTCAACTCTGAAAATCTTTTCTTAGCTGCTATTCTGTGCGTTTCACACGCGTGTACCGTTGTGTTTAACGTTTGGTAATGCTGTAACTCCGCAGCCTTTACTTAAGAATTTCTGTGTGATAGGCTTGAAGGGCAGAAGAAACAAAATCGGAAATTAACAAAAGAGGTTTTATTTGTTAGAGAAAACAAACGCTTGTTTGCATTGAATGATTAACTGTACTGCTTTTCTGTACCAGGAGTGATTTCAGTAGCCTCTTGGTTCTGAACTAACCTGGCTGGCAAACAGGATTTATATTGATACGCGGAAGGGAAGGGTCAGTTTTCACATTGCGTTCTCGTAATGGATGAGATGTGCTGTGAGTGCTGGGGAGGACGAGCACCCTTGGGTTGTTCGGTTTGTCAGATTGTATAAGGCGCTGGCAGCCCCGCTGCATTAGCTCTTTCATGCTGTTGAGCAGCAAAAATAAAATACACTTTATGTATCTTATTTCTGCAGTGCTGCAGTGCTCAGCCGTTCTAAAAATCGAATGCCCCAAAGGTCTGCCTCTCTTAGAGGAACTTGTTAGTTTTCTTGGTCAAGGATTAAATAGCGATTACTGGAGGGAGACTTGATTTTCTTTTTTTTTTTAAATATATTTTTTGGTGGTGGTGGTTTCTCACTAAAGTGAAAGTATGGGCTCATGCTACTACATCAGGAGTAAAGCACACGAAGGTAGGGCTGTGATGTTGGTACGTCAAAGAAAAGCAGACGTACAAGTAGTTATTTAACAATGCACAAACAAATAGCAGAATATGCAAAGCAGGGAGTGTAGATAAGGAAAAGGAGTTATGTGCATTGCCAGGATTAGAGGGGCTTAGGTCTGCAGGGATGTGAAATCCTTCCTTGTCGCCCAAGGACAGAGGGAGCTGCCCGCTGCTGGGCAGCGCCTGGCCCCAGCAGGTGCTCATCAGAGCAGCATCGCTCCTGCGCGTGCACTCGGGCTGTGGTTAGCCCCTCGATAGCAGCGGGCTGTGCTGGCCACGCTGGGGGCAGGCGCTCTCCTGCAGCATCCGCCCTTGCCCACGCAGGATCCCGTGCGTGCGCACGGCCCGGAGAGGCTGGTGCCTGGCCGGTGGGGCCTGGAGTCGCATCTCGGACTGGGGAGGTGAGGGGAGCGGTGGCCGAGGGGTCTCTGCCCGGCTGGGGCAGTTGGCATCGGGCAAAGGCGCCCCTGATGCGAGCTCAGCCCTTCCCTCGTGCTTGCAGATGGCGCAAGGCTGTGCTGCGCCTTCTGTGGGCTTCGCCCTTGCTGGGAGCAGAGCAGCCTGCCTGCGCTCCCCAGGTACGCGGGAGGGCAGCTGCACCTTCCAATGCTGTTGTCTTATAAATTGGTTATCAGCAATTTTAGGAAATGGCTGTTTTCTGTAAGGCAGACAATATTCAGCAGAGTATCTTTTTTTTTTTTTTTTCCCCTTTTTTTTAAAGGTGAATGGTTGCTGCTCAGCTTTCCTGGGTGCTTAGGAAAAGGTTGTGGTGTTCCAGTATCCAACTTTCTTTCCAGATTTCTTGTCTTAGAATATTATTGCTGCCACTTGCAGGAGCAGGGAGTGCTTGCTTTATCCTAACGGCAGAAGTGACTACAGCACAGCCGTTTGCCGTGCTAGGCACAGTCACATGTAATTATTGATGCCATATTCATCTTATGCTTTCAACAGAATCTGGTCTCCTCTGCTAACTGCTGTCCGCTCAGAGCCTGATCCCAGCAAGGCGCCGGCAAGGCAGGCTGTCCCCTAACTACTGAAGCAGCAGCGGAAACCCCATCATCCCTTTTCATGTAAATTTGGAGCATCAGTGTTAACACCTTGCAGTCTTGTTCCTAACTCTGCCCATCCCTGCTCGTGCTCTCTCCCACAAGGAACGATTTCAGCACCGTCTGGTTGAGCGTATATTTTAATTCTGCGCTAATATTGTTTGCATATATTTTAATTTTGCGCTAATGCTACCGTTGTTTGGTTGGAGCTGGATCCGCCCCGGGAAAGCTCAGCATTATTTCACAGGTATTTGAAACAGGCTTGGGTCACGTCCCCAGGGCAGAAGTCCGCAACTGTGGAATTGCTTCTTGGCTGCCTTGTATTGTTTCTTACAGTTGGGTTGTTTAAAATCGGCACATCTTGGCCAACGAACTCCAAGCGGGGGGCCTGGAGTCGCATCTCGGACTGGGGAGGTGAGGGGAGCGGTGGCCGAGGGGTCTCTGCCCGGCTGGGGCAGTTGGCATCGGGCAAAGGCGCCCCTGATGCGAGCTCAGCCCTTCCCTCGTGCTTGCAGATGGCGCAAGGCTGTGCTGCGCCTTCTGTGGGCTTCGCCCTTGCTGGGAGCAGAGCAGCCTGCCTGCGCTCCCCAGGTACGCGGGAGGGCAGCTGCACCTTCCAATGCTGTTGTCTTATAAATTGGTTATCAGCAATTTTAGGAAATGGCTGTTTTCTGTAAGGCAGACAATATTCAGCAGAGTATTTTTTTTTTTTTTTTTCCCCTTTTTTTTAAAGGTGAATGGTTGCTGCTCAGCTTTCCTGGGTGCTTAGGAAAAGGTTGTGGTGTTCCAGTATCCAACTTTCTTTCCAGATTTCTTGTCTTAGAATATTATTGCTGCCACTTGCAGGAGCAGGGAGTGCTTGCTTTATCCTAACGGCAGAAGTGACTACAGCACAGCCGTTTGCCGTGCTAGGCACAGTCACATGTAATTATTGATGCCATATTCATCTTATGCTTTCAACAGAATCTGGTCTCCTCTGCTAACTGCTGTCCGCTCAGAGCCTGATCCCAGCAAGGCGCCGGCAAGGCAGGCTGTCCCCTAACTACTGAAGCAGCAGCGGAAACCCCATCATCCCTTTTCATGTAAATTTGGAGCATCAGTGTTAACACCTTGCAGTCTTGTTCCTAACTCTGCCCATCCCTGCTCGTGCTCTCTCCCACAAGGAACGATTTCAGCACCGTCTGGTTGAGCGTATATTTTAATTCTGCGCTAATATTGTTTGCATATATTTTAATTTTGCGCTAATGCTACCGTTGTTTGGTTGGAGCTGGATCCGCCCCGGGAAAGCTCAGCATTATTTCACAGGTATTTGAAACAGGCTTGGGTCACGTCCCCAGGGCAGAAGTCCGCAACTGTGGAATTGCTTCTTGGCTGCCTTGTATTGTTTCTTACAGTTGGGTTGTTTAAAATCGGCACATCTTGGCCAACGAACTCCAAGCTGGTGCTTGGAGCTTGTCGCGTGTGTTCAGGACAGGCGTGCAGCCTGCCGTGGCTCTTGCCGGCGTGCCCTGCCTGCAGCGGGGAACGCGCGCGGACCGGCTGGCCTCCTGCCGCTCTGGCAGCAGCTCAGCTCCAAGCAGGGGCCGGGCTCCCCCCCTGCCGCTCTGGCAGCAGATCAGCTCCAGGCAGGGCCAGGAGCAAGCTGGGATGTGGTGGGGACTGTTTTGGTTCTGTTTTAAAATGCTAAATGTCCGTAAATGAAAGTGTCTGGTCTTGCTAAGGTTTATATTGCTGCTTACAGAGACCTGGCCCAACAGACCCTCCTGAAACGGGCAATTCCAAAGAATAGGATTTCTCCAGGCTTACACCGGTGAATACGATGTGGGCTCTGATCAGCATCATCCCTCTCTCCTACATGTATGCGCGTATATA